CTCTGTTCTGTCCCGAGCTCGGGGGGAGAGAGCATGTTGGCAGTCCAGATGCCCGAGTTTTTTTTTCTGCTTTGGGTGGGGAGCAGGGGATGAGGGTTTAGAGCAGAGGAAATAAAATCCTGGGTTCCCTGGTCAGGGAAGTGGCGACCTGGCCCTCTGGACACTTGGGTTCTCTCTCTGGTCTAATCTGAGAGTTGGAGCTGAGGTATTAAAGCAGGTCTGGGGGGCTGGGACCCCGGACGCCTGGGTTCTCTGGGGTGGTTAGAGCAGGGACAGCTGGAAGTCTGGACACCTGGGTTCCATGGGAAAGAAGGTGTTTAGAGCAGGGGGTGCTGGGATCCAGGATGCCGGGGTTCTCTCCCACCTCTGGGAGGGGAGCGGCGCCTAGTGGGTAGGGGCACTGGTGGGGGGGGTGTTGCATAGATCACGAGCAGTTCCCCTAGTGCAGGGTGGGGTCTTCCCCTGGGGGAAGCAGGGAGGGGCCCTAGAATCCGCTCCCGCTGCCTTCCACATCCTCCTCGATGACAGTGCGCCGGCTCCTGACCCGTGCTGGGCACGGCATGCCTGCCACTGCTGCCATCTCCAGGCCTGGAGCCCCTGGGGTCAGGCAGGGGCAGGGGGGATCCTCAGTCACAAAAGCATCTCCCCAGATGGTCTCACACAGGTCCTGGCCATCACGGTACATCTGAGTGGGGAGAGAGAGGGGGGCAGAGGTGAGGGGAGGTGTGGATGCAACCAGTTCTGGGGTGGGATTGCTGGTAATGGCCACACAGAACACCCTGGAGGTACATGGGGCTGGGATGCAGCCAGCTCTGGGGTGGAACTGCTGCACAGGTCATCATAGGGACCCTTGGAGCTGGGATGCGACTTACTCTGAGATGGAACAGTTGAGAACAGCCACATAAAACATCATGGGGGAGGTCGGACTGGGCAGTAGGCCAAAGACATGAGTGGCGGGTCTCAGTCTTCCCCTCCCCCCCCCACCCCATCCCCTCTCACCTGGCTATAGGGGGTACAGCCCCCTGTGCAGTTGTTGCCCTCGGGGCCCCAGCGCCAGTCACGGACCCAGTCCCGAGCACAGGTCAGGTCATCCCGGCAGGCATCGTACCTGGGGGGGAGTGGAAAAAAGTGGGGTCCACCCTGCCTCCTTCTTCCTCCTGCCCACCCCCTTCCCCCTGCTGCCTGGAGTCACCCAAGCTCTCCCCAAGGAGAGAACCCAGGTGTCCGGGCTCCCAGCACCACCTCCCCTGCTCCAACCTCGTTCCAACCTACCCAGGCCCCTGCCCTCCCTGAGCTGGGAGAGACCCCAGGCATCAGAGCTCCCAGGCCCCGCCCCCCTCCCTGAGCTGGGGAAAAGCCCAGGCATCGGAGTTTCCCAGCACCCTTCCCCAGTGGGGAGAGAACGCAGGTGTCCTGCCCCCACCTACCACTGCTGACAGAAGTCCCGACACAGGGGGGCTCGATGCAGCGCTGCGGGGCGCTCAGGGTGGAGCCAGTGGGCAGCACCAGGTGAGCAGCGGTAGAAACATTCAAGTTGTTGCAGGTACCTGGCACAACTGGAGAGTGTGGGGAGACAGTGTCAGGGCCTAGGACACTGTTGGAGGGAAGCTTGCAGCCCCAGGGCACAAGCTCACAGCATGGGATCTCACCTGGAGCTGAGGGGGCCACAGCAGTCCCAGGCGACATCCCTGGCCCCTGTAGTGGAAATCTCGGCAGCTGTTTCTGGGGAGCAACAGGCATCTGTGGGGGGGAGGGGGGTGCAGAATCAGGGGTCACAGAGTCACAGCTGGCCCTTCTCCCCCGTCATGGGCCCTGGGAGCCTGGACTCCTGGTTTCTCTGTCCAGCTCTGGGAGGGCAGTGAGACTGGTGCCTTCGAGCTGGGAGGAGGGGGCTGGAAGCCCAGACACCTGGGTTCTTTGCCCAGGTCTGGAAGGTCAGAGGAGGGGGAACTGGGAACCCTGACACCTGGGTCTCTTGAGCTCTGGGTGGGTACTGGGGACTGGGATCCCTGATGCCTGAGTTCTCTGCCCAGCTTTGGTCAGTCAGTGTTGGGGTGGAAACACAGGGCCCCTTCACCCTCCGCCCACCCCACACCACCCCACCCCACCCCCTGCAACTCACTGTGTGCATAGGCCTGGCAGAGTCCCAGGCTGCTCTCAGGACTGGGCCGGGCCTTATGCTTCCCTCCGGGCAGGCAGGTGCCCCCCTCAGTGCCCTCCCCGTGGGGTAGCGCCAGCGCCAGCGCCCAAGCCAGGCCCAGCGTCTGCAGACCCATGGTCCTGAGGACAAGCAGAGAGGAAGTCAGCAGGTGTTATGCAAATGGCATGAATACCAGTTTTATGTTGGGTAAATAACATGGAGATAGACTTTTGTCTATTGTCTTAATCTTATCTATTACCTTGATGCTTTTTTGTGTGTATTTTTTTGAGTTTTGCACTGCCTTAAGAAACTCCATTTTGTATTGCTCTGTAGCTGGACATAAGTGCTTGACCTTTCACTCTTTTGTATGCTTTATGTGTGATGGAATGGGTGAGAGTGTGTTTGTGGAAAAGGAAAACACCAGGTGGCAACTGGCTGAAGAATGCAGACAGATAAAAAAAACAAAAGAAGAAGAATCCACCCCAGAACAGCGAGAGAACAACATCAATCGACCTTCAAGGAGGAACACTGTGATAACACAGCAAAAGCACAGAGGACTGGCTGAACTGACAAGACTATAAAAGGTGGGGCAAGACACGTCCATTTTGGGTCTTGTTCTGCATACCATTCTGGAGCATCAGTTCGCCTGATGAGACAGACTGACAGAAGCCCAGTTCCCACTCGTGACCAACTTAGCTGGCCACTAAATTGACTTGAGCACTGATGAGGCTGGTAAAGTATACCAGCACAGAACAGAAATTGGGGGGTGTGTATACTAAGCGCTCAATCAATAAATGCTGTGTCTTGCCTTGCCCCCTCTTACAAAGGTCTCACTCTTTATTTTGAGCTAATTGGTTAACACAGGCAGGGCCCCATCACTACAAGGAACACAGGCTTCTTGGCTCCCAGCCCCCCTGTTCTAAACCCCCAGTCCTCCCTCCCCCCCAGCCCCAGAGCTGGGGAGAACCCAGACATCTAGACTCTCAGCCCCCATGCTCTCACTCACCCAGGAAACCTTACTCCCTTCTTCCACCTCTCCAGCTCTGGAAAGGGAATGGGATATTGGAGAGTTAGAGTGGGGGGCTGGGAGCCCAGATACCTGGGTTCTCCCCTTGGTGCTGAAAGTGGACACAGAGGGTGAGCTGGTGGGTGAGAGGAGGGGAAGAATGGGAGCCAGGATGCCTGGGTTCTCTCCCTGGTTCTTGAGGGAGGGGGTCAGGACACCTTGGTTCTCTCTGGGAGTGGGTGGAGTCCTTGGAGGTGATTGCTCCCCTCTCCAATGTCTTCCCTGCTAGGCTGAGCTGGGTGGGGGGGAGGGTCTGGACTGATCTGCTCCTAATTGGATTGGGATTATGGGCCCAGCCATGGCCAAGGTGACTCCCAAATTAGACATGGCTGCGGGGGGGGGGGGGGGGGGGGGCCCTTCCCCCCTCCCCCCCCTCACCAGGGAAGGAGAGAACCCAGGTGCGCGGGTTCCTTGGACTAAATTGTCCTGTGCCTTGGTTTCCCCTTCCTTGGTCTGCTCTAGTGTTGGTTCTGTGTAGCTGGGGACCCCACTTCAGACACTGGTGACCCCAAGGACCTCATTTCGGGTGCCCTCTCTTAGTAGTAATACGGTACCCCGGGGCACCGAGGGGAGAGGATGACGAATGGATGCGTGTTACTAGGGGAATTACGGCAGCCCCGCCTCATCCCCCAACTACCATAATGCACCTAATGGTGCCCCTTCCTTAAAGTTCAACTGAGCTGGTTCTCCAGGGCGTACAGTAATACCCTAAATAAGGCAAACCCCTCACTGGCTACCATAATACACGTCGGAAGGGTCAGCCCGAAGCTGGGCCCTTAAAAAAGCCATGTCAAGAAATTTGATATCCTGTAACATGCACGTATAATGACACCAATCACATATGCACCATTCTCTACATACATGTATGCAAGTGTGCCTACAAGGATCTGCATATGCTCATGTCATTTCACATGCATGAACACACATGTGAAATGACAGGCACATGTATGTGACATGCACAACCCTGTACAAGCATCGGTATCTATGCCTGCAAATATGTGCATGGCAATCTAGGATAATCTTTGCATCAGGCATGCACATGACATGTGTGTGATATTGCACACATGTAGCATTTAGCATGGTCCACATATAACATAGACATGTAAAATCCCAGGTCTGCCAGGACTAACTCATAGGCTGTGCCAGGCACCTCTGCCTGTCTATATGCATAAATACAGCTATAGTCATCACAACATTTGCATATCTGTATGTAGACCTATCGACATGCCCACCTATAAAGCGGGATAAGGCATGTAAAGTGACACCTTTAGTTTAATAGAGACTGATGCATCTGTACATAGAGGCAATATGCAAATATATGCATATGTGGGGATACAGGGCAATGGCAGGAAGCGTGCCCATCCGCCTGCCCCCCACATCGTCTCCAGTCTCTCTAAATCTGCCCCAGGCTGAGCCACGGGCCCTTTGGACCTGGGAACCCTGGGACACAGAGCCCGGATGCCTGGGTTCTATCTAGCCCTGGGAGGGCAGTGGGGGCTAGTGGGTTAGAGCCCGGACCCGGAGGGGAACGACCCCGGATGCCTGGGTTCTATCAGTCCACTGACCCGCTCTTGCCTTTAGACACCCCCTTTCCTGACATCCTGCACGGCTCGGCCGTGGGCAGGGGAAACTGAGGCATGGGGCCCAGATCTTCCTGGATAGAGTGCCCCCCTCCCCCAGAGCTGGGGATGGAACCCAGGCATCCTCGCCCTCCACACAGTGCAGGGGTCTTCCCGATCTACAGCCCCCCCTGGCTGGGGAATCCCTCTAGGCTCGGAGGCCTTGGGTCTGGGGAATTGCTCCCCTCTCCGTCCCCTCCTAGGGCCCTGGCCACTACCTGGGTGCTGGTGCCGGGTCCTGGTCCCGACGGCTGAGGCTATGAGGCAGCGTTCGCTTCCTTCAGCACCGGCTGCTGCAATGACCTCCCGCCCTCCTCAGCTCTGCAGCTGCGCCCGGCCCAGCCCCCGCCCCGTGCTCCACCCCAGAGGCGGCTGCATCTCAGCTTGGGGCGAAGGGGGGCGGGGCTGGGAGCCTGGACGCCTGGGTTCTCTCCCCAGCTCTCGAGGAGAGTGAGCTCAGGAGGGTTAGCGCAGTTTGTGGGGGAGTATCTCGGACACCTGTGTTCTCTCCAGCTGTGGAAGGGGAGTCGGGGATGGAGGTTTAGAGCAGGGGGTGCTGCGAGCCCGGACGACTGGGTTACCCTGGTGCATGGATGTTGCACGGGTATGCGTGTTTTCTTGTTTGCGCACACGTGTGGCAGGACCCCTGGGCCTGCCAGTCACCTTTGCATATGCGCAAGGACCCCCGATGATTGCGCACACGGGTGTGCTAGCTCCCCGGGCGCAGGCCCCGCGACTCCCCTGTGGGAGGGGGCACCCCCACATCCCTGTCCCCCACCTCTCCGCTGGGGAGCTGGAGGGGCTGGCGCTGTCCACGGTGCTGCATCTGCATGAAGGAAGGGTTGGAGCTCTCCAGGGTCCTGCAGTCGGGGAAGCCCGGACGCCTCGGTTCTCTCCAGTTTTGGGAGGGGGTGGGGTTGTGGGGGGAGGGTAAGAGCAAGGGAGGCTGGGGGCCGAACGCCTGGGTCTTCATCCCAGCTTCGCCCATGCCTCGCTGTGGCTCCCTGGAGAAGTCTCACCTCGCTCCATGCCTCAGTTTCCCCGCTCAGAAAAATGCGCCCCCCACACTCCAGGGATCTATGCGGGGGGGGGGGGGAGCG